AAAAAAAAAAAAAAAAAAAAAAGAAGGGAAAGACTAGACAAGATAGGTGCAGGTTTCCCATACATGTAAGTAGGAAATAAAGCAAATCCTGGATTTTTTTTCTCCCAACTAATCAGAAAGGCAGAGTAAGGAAGGAGTACTTGAAATGTCTGATTAGCACACAGACACAAATCAACAGGGCTGGATGATATGCCACCTATTGTCTTAAGGGAATTTGCTAATGAACTTCCTGAACTGGTAATTAATTTTGAAAAAATCACAGACACTGGGAAGCACAGCAATTTGAATAAACCCAAATTGTCCTAATATGTTGAAAAGGAAGACTCGTCATCCTACAATACTGACTGACCCTGGCTAGGCAGGGGACCAGCAGGGAGCTCCTAGATCATTAGTGTCCTTTATAGCCTTAGCAAAAAAAAGGTCAGCAGGAGACTTCAAATCAAGCAAATGATTTATTTAGTGGCATGTTCACAATACCCCTGCCCCTCCATCTGCTTTTTTTACTACACTCAGCCATTGCTTGTGAAGGGCCTGGCTAGCCATGCTGCTGTAACAATGCTGTGAATAGCTCTGTTGATGCACAGAACATGTTCAAAGCAGTAAGTGCTTTGGAGCACGGACTGTCTCTTACCACGCACCTGTGCACAGTCCGATACAATAGCATCCCCATCTTGACTGGTATCTCTGGACGCTACTTGAACTCCACTGCTATATACTAATTACCAGACTGAAAAGCTGATCTCAACCTTGTGAGCTCTAACGGAATAGATGCTACCCCATAATTTTATTACTGTACTGCTGGCATAAATTGGACTTGGGGGTAAGTTCAGAGCCATGATTTATTAGCAGCATTACAACCTTTTATATACTTGACACAATCCAGTCTGCGGCTGCTTTCTTGTTCCGCAATGTCCTGTTCATGCTGGTTTTTAAAATGTTTGCTGGCTTAGAACAAGAAACCAGCCACAAACTCCACTGTATTAGGTATGGTTTAAATGGGGACTAAGGTGGATTCACATCCCATGACCTGGATTAGCTTTTGTGACCCTCTTTGTCATATGCCTCTCTTAGCACTGTCCCTCTCCTCCTCTCCCACTTTTCCTTTCCCTTCCCTTTTCCTACTTTTTGTCTTCCTA